ACATAACTTTCTCACGACTAATCGGGATTTTTGCGAGACCGATAGTGGCATTGATTCCAGAGTAACCCGTATAATTTTCCCTCGACTATTCGAAATAATTCCAAAGCCGACATTCGCTTTAGTACGAGTGGCAATCGATTAAATTTCCTTCGACTAATCGGATTCTTTCCTAATCCGACCGTGGCATTCATTCCAGAATTACTCGCAAACGTTACCCTCAATTCGTTAGAATTGTTCCAAGGCAGTCAGCCGCATTTGTTCGAGAGGCACGAGCATACCATTTCCCGTCTAGTAGGATTATTTCCAAGTCCGACAGACGCATTTGTTCGAGATTCTGTCGCATTGCTAGGGCAGTTCCAACATGGCTGTCATATAGGAAGAACGTGTCGCATCATGCACCGCGTATTGTAGAAATTTTCCTGGTCAAAAGTGGTTTGCCGGTGAAAAATTTACATCCCACCCGTTAACTAAATTGCGGTGAACAAATTGTGATAATAATCATTAGTGGGAATTGATTATTTATTGTGTGATTAGTGAATAAATGTGCTTATTATTTTCGAGGAGGCCATATTGTTTTTCATATAGTCTATGGATGATGGTGGACTCATCTGTAATTTTCGGTATTGCGACTGAAGCGCCATCACATTCATGGCGCACGCTGATCGGTCGTTGGAGTTGGACAAGAAATTTGTAGTGTTATAACTGCATCAAATTTTATTTATCGACAGTTAACACGCCTGCGGCACTCCTAACCTCAAACTGCAAAAAGCGCGGGAAACACTCCAGGCACGGCTCTACAGGCCTTGTCGCCCGGGGACCTCAGCCACGGCCCTACAGACCTTGTCGCCCGTGGTATATGAAAAATTTTTCGGAAATATTCAAAATTGTCAAAATTCTCCAAATTGTTGAATTTCGTCATAATAGATGATGCAGCCATGTTGAAACTGCCCCAAATTAATGGAGGGGAGTCTTATATGATTCAACATATCAAAATTAATGACCTTTTTTTCTCACTTATTACGGAATGTTATTGTTTGATCATTATATTGCCCCTCCGCCATTAATAGAAGTAAACTATCTAAGTATTACTTTCGTTTTTTTCCACTTTCTCTTTCAGGTTCAAGTTTCCCTCTTGCAGCTTCTTTCCTTAGTTTTAATAAAGAAGTTGCTTCCGAAAATTTCTATGATGGTTGTTCGTGGTGAAAAATATTCCGGAGGTGAACTAGCCTCCCGTTCGGATCTCCGGGTGGAGGCTTTTCCAGGGGCGATTAGCGTGGTGAGGAGAAGTTCGCGTATAGCTTTGCTTAATGCAACTAGAGCGACCCCGAAGGTGACGAGCGGATGCACTTCCGGCGTAGGGCAGCGTAGGAACGCAGCAACACGTCGGTCGTGTGCGCGATCGTCGTCCAAGGCCACTCACAGTGCGACCCCCCTGCTGCGTTCCTTGCCCCGCACAACTGTATCAGGTGATAGCCAGCCTTCGAGAGGTTATAGACGTTTTAGGAAGGTGCGATAGGAATTTGCCGAGGTCATCTTCTACGCCCACGCAAACGAATGCCGTTGACGTTATATCGGTCGCGAACACCGGAATAGGCGCGAGATGTTCTTCCAGTTCGGGTGACACACAGGTCGAACAGAATTTAGAGTGCGTACCGATTACCACGCTATCGCGAACATGCGCATACGCTCGCACGCAATCAGTGCAAACCCCCCCGAAAATGGAATATATGCCCCCAGCCTCTAGGGATAACCGCAACCCCCGTAACAATAGCGCTCAAGTAACGCGTAGAAATAATCCCCAACCGATTATTGAGCTAAATGCTGAGCAAGTCAGCACGGTCTCACCCCCAATATCGGAAGCGGCCGAAGAGGTAGACGTTGCCCCATCGGAAAACCTTGAAGAAAACGACTCACGCGTAACCCCTGATACCACTGGTGCGACAGGCGTGGATCTTGAAATAAAGGCACCGCGAGTTACCTCCGCCGAACCGTGCGCTTAATCTTCGGCAATAACACGATTTCGACCAAGACCACCCCCCCAACGGTAAATTTCACGTTCTCGAAAATCCATCTTCTGTAGCTTAACATGGGTCGTTCTAGAACGGTAACGGGCAAAGTCCGCGAATTGATTAGCCAAAAGTTCCTGGGCGTGCTGCTTTTTCAGGAGCCGTACGTCCAAAGGCACGGGACAGGATACGAAATCATAGGATTAGGTAGCGTAACAAGAATAGCTGCCACTCGCGATGAAAAACTCTGGTCATCGGTAGCGGCGACCAACCCGAAAGTCGCGTTGCTTCCTATCTCGTAGTTTAGCACTCCTTACTGCGTCTGTGCAGAAGTGCAGGCACCCGGCTCCTCATTCTACATTGTCTCTCATCACTTCCAATATAGCGACGAAATAGCGGAACACCTTAGGCACTTGGAATTAGTACTTTGTGCCCTACGGGGGGAGAGAGTAATTATTTCACTGGACGTCAACGCACGAATACCTCTCTGAGGTCCTCAGGGCACAGACGAGAGAGGCTCGAAATTGGAAGCCCTCATCCAGCCATCCAGGTTAAGAGTGATTAACGTGAAGCGGCCACCCACATTTTGGACGACGAGAGGCTCCTCGTACATTGACGTAACCCTGTCGTCACAATCCTCAGCCGATTCATAGGCCAATACATAGACAGAACAGGATGGACGTTCAGCGATGATAACTCGATAGATATCGTGATACGTCCCTGAAAGCTGAGTCGGGAGCTAGGGGAGGGCGCTCGGGGCGCGGGGGACAGGATGTTCAACACCAGGAGAGCTGACTGGGACCTGTTCGCTGAGCGTCCACTCTCCCTCTCCGCGGCAAGGCTGGAGGGAAGTAGTTTTGGACCGACTTCAGATGTAGAGACACGAGCAATGTGTTCACTAGTGTCCTACAAACCACATGTTCCGAATCCATGCTCCGCAAAAAGCCCCACCGGAAATCCCACCCGTGGTGGACGTCAACTTTAACGACATAACAGAAAGCGGTTTCACGACTAAGGCGCGCGTTTCAGTGAGAAAGAAACCACCAGGCACGCTTCGGGTTAATGCGTGAATATCGTTCGTCGTTACGAGAATATAGTAAAGCGGCACGACGTGCTAAATTAGAGAGTTGGAGGAAATTAGTCATACAGCAGGGTAACGGGGAACCGTGGGGATACATCTATAAGCAGCAGGCAGGTAAACTTTGCGTCGAAATGGTAATCAATATCCTCAAACGAGAAGGCGGAAAGACTACGAACGTTCGCGATACGGCGAGAGTCCTCCTCAACACACATGTCCCGGATGACCGCATGTCCGAGGACATGACTGAACAGCGCGTGGTGCGGAGCACTTCCCGAAACGTCCCTGAAACTGAGGATTCCCCTCTCTTCACTAAGGAAGAGGTCGCGCGTGTAATAGGATCCTTTAGAAACGGAACGGCCCCGAGACCCGACCTTATCGAGATGTGCGTGCTCAAGAGAGCATTTGCCGCCATCCCATCCCAATTCGTAGACTTCTTTAACGGATGCCTCCAATGGGATATCTTCCCATCGATCTAGAAAGAGGGCTCCTTAAGCAGTTCTTAAAGGTGTGGATAAGGACGCGGAGGACCCCAAGTCCTACCGGCCGATATGTCTTCTCTCTGTCGTAGGAAAGATTCTAGAATGGCTGCTGAAGTTGCGCCTTAATGAAACATTCCTCCCGCCGGGTAAACTTTCGGACAAACAATATGGCTTTGTCCCGGGACGTTCCACTGAGAACACGATAGTATACATGCACCGAATCGTTTCTGCCTCCTCACGGAGAAATGTCATTGGATTGTTATGCATTTCGGGAGCCTTCGACAATGTTTGGTGGCCCTTAGTCCTTAAGGCACTCCAGGATTGGGACTGGTCGAGAAATGTCTTCATTGTTATGACTAGCTACTTCGCGGACCGCAAGGTAAAAATCGCTTTAGGAGAGCATAAGATTTCCAAGCAGGCTTCGAGAGGATGCCCAAAAGGATCGGTCCTTGACCATCCTCCTGGAACCTCATGTTTGACCAGCTCCTCCGGATACTCGAAGAACCACCGGAAATGAAGGTGATCGCGTATGCGAACGACATACTCGTCATCCTAGTCGGAGATTCCAGGAATAAATTAGAGGAGAAAGGAAATCGCCTGGTATATAGCATCACATGATGGTGCTCGACGGCGAAACTATCAATCTCTGAACGTAAGACGGAGGCAATGGTGCTGAAAAGCGACTGGGTTAAGAGGAGGCCCATAGGTAGAAGGGGAGGACAGCGCCTGGATAGGAAGCGGAAAACATGAAAAATGACCGTCTTAGCTAGTAGGCCACCCACCATTATGATAGGGAATAATACTGTCAAATTTAGGAATTCCATTAAATACCTCAGCGTATTCTTTGATAAAGGGCTGGGGTTTACGACGCACTGCCGGTACCTCAATGTCAAAGTCGGGTCACTTTTCGCATAATTAGGTAGATTAGCAGCCAGGGAATGGGGATTCTGCCACAGCGCTCTACGGGCGATTTATCGAGGCGTATTCACCCTACAGTCACGTACCCGGCAGCGGGATAGTCGGATCTCTGCACCGAAGGAGATCTGAAAAAGTTAAGCGCGACCCAGCGATCGGCTCTCATCTCGGTAACATCTGCGTATCGTACAATCGCGACGGAATTCCTCTGCGTCGTAGCGGTGGTGCCACCGATAGATCTCCAGTTATTGAAGCGCAGAAGACTATGCGGTATCAGGAAAAGTAGGAGCAGAAAACAGCGACGCGAAAACAGGAAGGCACGAAGAATAAGTGCGCCATTGTAAGACAGATTGACGAGGAAATTTTCAGGGATTGGCAGTCCAAATGGGAGAACTCCTCAAAAGGAAGTACTACGTACGCGTATTTCCCGGACATCAAGGAAAGGATGGGTGCCCGTTTCGTCTCTCCTAAACACTTCACATCTCAGTTTCTTACACGACACGGACCTTTTAAGGCCAAATGAAGTCGTTGAACATCACCATGGAAGGAACATGCGAGTGTGGCGAAGAAGACACGGTTTTGCATTACATCGTCGACTGTCCGGTTTTTGAACCCCAGAGGGTGGTTTTGGAGGAAATGAGTGAAAGGAGTTGGCCAGAAGCAGCGAGACATCTTGTTTCCACGGGCGAGGCCTTCTCCTTCTTTCTGGAATTTTGCAAAGAAACCCTCCTTATCAGGGGTTGTTAGTTCGAATATCCTGTTCAGCTGGGATTGTCGGAGTCCTGGTGATGGGGGTGGGAGCCTGTAATCTTCTCAGGTAAACCAATTTTCGAACAGGATAGGGTCGGAAATGCTCGAACGGAACTCCCTATTTTTTCTTTTTTTATTTTTTGTTCTATATCACCCAACTCTCTCCCTATACCTCTTATCCTTTCAATCCCATCCCATCCTACGGACCGATTGCCAAGGATCGTGGTATTGTGAGTGGGCCTTTCCGTGTTTCCTCGTGGGCACGGCCGGCATTAGCGTGGTGATCCGTTTCTGTGAGGATGTTGATCGTGGCTAAACCACTCACACTGTCCGTCGGAAGGAGTTTTGGGTTTTTCTGAATCCGGTCTTTTCGTTGTGGTGGCTGCTGTCTGTAGGTAGTTCCGTAGCGTATGCCCTAATGGGCGAGGTTATATAGGTGCAGGCACCCATCGGATGTCCACCTTTACAATATACTGTCGCATAGCTTGGGGTTCTTCCGAGTCCGGTCACTTCGCCGTGGTGGTTGCTGCTAGAGAATGGTTCCGTAGCGTATGCCCAAATGGGCGAGGTAGCATAGGTGCAGTTTCCCTACTGGTTTCCTCTATCACAATATACAATCGCATAGCTTGCCCTTGAATTGTCGGAAGATTTCCAAAATCGACAGCATCATTTATTCGTGAGGCACTCTCATAACTTTGCCTAGACTAGTCGGTTTATTTAATAGTCCATCAACCGCAAATGTTCGAGAGGCGCCCGCATAACTTTCCCTAGAACCTTCGGAATACTTCCAAATCCAAGAGTCGCATTGGTTCACAAGACACTCGCATAACAATTCCTTTACTAGTCGGAATGGTTCCAAGTCCACCAGTCGCTTTAGTTAGAGTGGCATTCGCATAAGTTTCGTTTCACTTGTCGTATTATTTCCAAACCCGACAGTCGCAATGGTAAACAAGTTATTCACATAGCTTTCCCTCGACTAGTCGGAATGATTCCAAGTCCAACATCCGCATTGATTCGAGTTACACTCGCATAAAATTACCTCGTCCACTGCGATTATTCCCTATACCGAAAGTCCCTTTGGTTAACAAGTCACTCGAATAAAGTTTCCTTGTCTGTTCAGAATGATTCTAAATCCAACATTCGCTCTGTTTTGAGTGGAACTCGCATTAAGTTCCCCGGATTAGTCAGATTATTTCCTAGTCCGACTATTACGCATATATCCAAGTCCTACTGTCACATTTGTGCTTGAATCACTCGCATAACTTTCCCTGACTAGACTGTTTATTTCCGAGTTTCACAAACGCATGGTTCGGTGGTCTCTCACATAACTTTTCCACGTCTAGACGTAATATTTCCAAATACGACAGTCGCTTCAATTCGAGTGTCACTCGCATAAATTTCCCTCGATTATCCAGAATACTTCCAAGTCCGACATTTGCTTTTGTTCGATTGTCACACGAAAAATATTTCCCCGTCTTGTCGTAATATTTCCAAGCCCGACAGTCGCAATGGTTTACTATTAACTCGCATAACTTTACCCGACTCGTCGGAATATTTCCAAGTCTTACAGCTGCATTGGTTTGAGAGGCATCCGCATAACTTTCCGTCGAATAGCAGGAATATATCCAATGCCGACAGTCGCACAGGTTTATAAGACTCTAGCATAACCTTCCCTCGACTAGACGGAATATTTCCAAGTCCGATCATCGCATTGGTTCCAATGTCACTCACATAACTTTCCCTCGAGTAGGCGGAATAGTTCCAAGTCCGTCATTCGTTTTATTTCGAGTAGAACTCACATAATTTCCCCTCGAATAGTCAATATATATTCAAGTCCAACAGTTGCATTTGTTCAGGATGCACTCTCATAACTTTCGCCGACTTGTTGTAATATTTCCAATACCGACAGTATCATTGGCTTACTAGTCAATCGCATATCTTTCCCTGACTAATCGGAATATTTCCAAGTACTACAGTCGCATGTCTTCTAAAGACACTTGCATAAATTTCCCCTGACTAGTTGGAATATTTCTATGTCCGACAGTCGAATGTTTCGAGAGGCTCTCGCATAATTTTCCCTAATCTAATCGGAATATTGTCATGTTCGAAAATCGCATTTGTTTAAGTGGTACTCTCATAACTGTGCCTCGACCAGTGGTAATATGTCTAATTCCTACAGTCGTATTCTTTCGAGAGGTACTTGCATAACTTTCCGACGACTGGTCGGAACAGTTCTAAGTCCGAAATTAGCATCGGTTCGATGTGCATTCTCATATCTTTCCCTCGACTAGTGGGAATATTTCTTATTCCAACAGTCGTATTCGTTCGAGAGGAACTTGCATATCTTCCCTTGACTAGTCGGAAATATTCTAAGTCCTACCCTTGTATTGGTTCGAGTTGCACTCGTATAATTATATTCGTTATTATTGTCGTTATTATTATCTTTATTAATATCTTTATTATCATCGTCATTAATATTATAATCGTTACTATCATCGTTATTATTATCCTCATAATAATCATTATTATTATTATTAATATTATTATCCTTATTATAATCGTTATTATTTTCGTAATTATTACCTTTATTATAGCAATTGTAACTATTAGTTTTTCCGTTATTATTATCGTTATTATTATAGTAATTATTAATATTTTGATTCTCGTTTTTATTATCGTCATTATTATCTTTATAATTACAATTATTATTATTGTTATTGTAATCTTTATTATTATACTTATTATTATTGCTACAATAGACAACATTACTATCGTTAATACTATCTTTATTATTATCGTTACTATTATCGTTATTATTATCAGTTTTTTTATTTTTATTATCACCGTTATTATTCTTGTTATTATTATCGTTATTGTTTCCGTTATTGCTATCGGCATTATTATCGTTATTATTATATTTATTAATATCGTTTTTATTATCGTTATTATTATAGTTATTATTATAGTTATTATTATCTTTATTATTATCGTCATTATTGTCTTTATTATTACCTTTATTATTATCGTAATTATTAACCTTAATTACTATCATTAATATTATAATTATTATTATCGTACTTATTATCGTTATTATTATCCTTATTATAATCGTTATTATTATCATTATTTTTATCGGTATTCTTAGGTTGGTGCGTATGAAATGTCGGATTTTCTTTAAATGTGAACGTTTGTCTCCCTGTTTTTGTTATGCTTTTGTTTTTGACATGACCTGCTTTATAGGTGTACTATCCATTGGCAGAGACATATTTTAGCATTGAGGATTTTCTCCAACGTGTTCCCTTTTTTTATTTGCTTAGAATTTTGCACCGATATGAATTCAAACAATATTCGTGTAATTCTCTTATATGAGTATAAACTTGGTAGTAATGCTACAAAAGCTGCACGCAATATAAACCAAGAGTTTGGGGGGAATACTGTTAACGATCGAAAAGTGCAGCGTTGGTTAGAATAATCTCGTTCTGGTGAATTTTCCCTGCAAAATGAACCGCATAGAATATCCAAACGTCTGTGAAAAATGGTGCTCTGATAGCATTGGTGGAAACGAATCCATCTGTTTCTTCAAGGGAACTTTCTGCCTGAATGGAAATTGACCATACAACAATATTTAGACATCTTTCTTAAATTGGCATGGTGAAAAAATGAATAAGTGGATACTGCACGAACTAACCGAGCGAAATAAGCTGGATCGCTTGAACTTATGCTCATCATTGCTAACCCTATTTAATCGAGATCCATCTTTCGATCGGATCATTACTTGTAATGAAAAATGGGTTCTTTACGATCATAGGAAAATGTGTGCTCGGTGGCTTGATAGGGATGATATTTGTGCTCATACCTCACGGCCATCACTTCTTCCATGGAAAATTTTAATCACAGTTTGGTGGAATGTAACTGGAGTAATACACTACTCATTCCTTCGAACTGGAATGACAATTACAATGGAAATGTATTGCCAATACATTGAAGAAATGCATGAAAAATTGAAAATTATACGCCCATCACTTGTTAATCAGCATGGCCCAATACTTCTCCACCAAAACGCTCGGCCACATACATTGTACAAAACTATTGCGAAATTAAATGAATTAAAATATGAAATTTTACAGAACCCACCTTATTCACTAGATCTTTCGACAACCGACTTTCATTTATTTAAACATTTAAAACTGTTTTTACGGGCTAAACAGTACGAAAATGAAGACAGTCTGAAAAATGCCATATCAGAGTTCATTGATTCTGAAGATCAGAATTTCTTCAAGACAGGCATCTATGCATTTAAATCTCGTTGGGAAAAGTGTATTGAAGTAAATGGAGCATATTTTGGTTAAATAAGCAGCTTTTGGAGAATGATATGCAGCTTAATATATTCACTTAAGAATCCGACATTTCATTCGCATCAACTTAATATTACCGTTATTATTACCTTTATTATTGTTGTTATTATTACCGTTATTATTGTAATTCTAGTTACTTTTATTATCACCATTATTATTATCAATATTATTAATCTGCATTACAATCTTTATTACTATGTTTATTATTATCCTTATTAATATCCTTATTATTATCGCTATTATAAACCTTCTTTATTATCGTTAATAGTACCTTTATTGTTATCGTTATTATTATCGTTATCATTATTCATAATTTTACCGTCATTAATATCGTTATTATTCTAATTATTGATATCGTAATTATTATTGTTATTATTATCTTAATTATTATGGATATTTTTACCGATTTTATTGTCGCAATCTTAATTGTAATTATTATCATTATCAGTATTGCTATTAGTAGTATTATTATTACTTCGGAAAAATCTCGCTAGACAACATTGTCGAGAAAATACTCCGCGGTCAGGAGGAGTGGAACAAGGTGGCCCGATACGTCAGAACCACCTTGCGCAGAAAAAAGATGGAGACGGGTGGCACATAGACCTGCCCCCAACATTGCTCCAAACTCCTGCCCCGTAGAGCCGAAGGGAGATTCCTATAATCGGACCTGATGCAGTGACGCCATCCCGAAGTAATGCCACATGGCGGAGCCTGGATGGTTTCACTATGCCACTAGGATGGACATGAGTTTAGTTGGTAGTGCCTATTCCAACGGTGAGCCCGACACTCTAGGGACCTGAATGGGGGAACCAAATAGTGAAGGACTCCTCTGGCGGGCGGAGTCCCTGGGTTAGTGCGTAAAGATTGGCATTCTCAGACCATCAAAAAAAAATTAGTATTATTATTGTTATCATCTTATTTTTGATCGCTATTATTATCGTAATTACTATCGTTATTATTACAGTCATTATGACTGCTATTATTACCGTTTTTATTATCCTTATTATTACCGTTACTATTCTTTTTACTATTATCAATATTATTATCGACATTATTATCGTTATTATTATCGTAATTAATAACTTTCATTACTATCGTTAATATATCGTTTTTTATTATCAATATTATTATCGTTATTACTATCCTTTTTATTAAGAAGTTAATAAAGCCAATTGGAGAAGTGGAAAAGAGCAGCCAGGGCCGTTGAGAATATGCTGCTATCCAGCATGACGTTACCAATCCAGCCTGCGAAGGAGACACCACAAGATGGAGAGAGAGAGAAACTCGCGCAAACAAAAGACCTCCTTGTCAATATGAGGGCGGCTGTGATTAGACAGCCGACCGTAAACAATGCGATTAAGCAAGGGCTCACAGATCTGGAAGAGATCACTAACAACCGCGAGCTCATGTATAAATCTCGAACAAAGGTCAATAAAGAAGTGATGATCCTCGTCCAAGTCTCTCATGGGCAGACTCTGTAACAGATGCAGGCGCAGTTAAGAGAGTAGCAACAAGCCCGCCGCAGTTCCTTGAAGAAAGCCTCAAAAACCGAGGCAAGAGGCGACGATGACCGAAGCCACCAAGTGGACGGAGGTCGTTAAGAGTAAGTGAAAAAAAGAAAAATCAGTGAAGAAGGAGACGAAAACCCGCGGAAGGAGAAAAGGAAGCCGAGCAAATCGGAGGACAGTCCGAGATAGAGAACGATGCCGGACGCGATCCTCCTGAAACCTGCGCAAGGTAAATCTTACGCAGACGTAGTCGGAGCCATCCAACAACGCATCAAGACCAGTGCTTCAGGGCTGGTCGTTAGATCGTTCCGGTAGGTCAGAACGGGAGGGGATCTCCTCGAACTCAAGAAGACCACTATGGAGATCAGGGCCTCAGTCACAGAAACCCCGAGGAAAGAAGTAGGAGACGAGCAGAATCACAAAACTGGTCCCCAGAGCTACACTGGAGATACGGGACTACGATTGCTGTACATCGGTGGTAGAAGTCGTGGAGGCTTTTAAGTGGACCATGCCAAACTACGCGAGAAACTCGAATTTAGAATGACGTACACCAACGCGAGTCAGCAACGCCTGGCCCTTGTCAAAATAGAAGAGGAAGCAGCTGGGAAGCTTTTGAAGGTCGATCGAGTGCTGGTCGGCTGTGTCAGCTGCTAAGCCAGGCGAGGAGGAGAAGTAAGGCGATGCTACCGCTGCTTCAACTATGGCCACAATAGTGCTTCGTGCAAGGGCCCTGATCTCAGTAAGCTTTATTATTTCTGGGGCGACACGGGGCACAATATCAAAGACTGTAAGGTCAGCGAGCCCACTTGCTTCTTGTGCTCCAAAAGCATTGTTGAACCAAAGAAGCACTTGGCCGGATCAAGGGCGTGCAATGCCTTCCAGAAGGTCCTTGCAACAGCCAGCGAAAAAAAGGATGAGAGTACTGAATGAGATGAGAGTAGAGAATGAGAGTAGGGTAATCTCAATAAGAGCAGAAAGGCGCACCACCTCATAACCCAGCTCTGCTCTGTGAAAACAGCTGATATTTTTCTAATCAGAGAACAGTATCAGGACAGGGCAACAGCAGGATGTTACGCCAACGAATAGAGCACTGCGGCCGTCTGGATTTCAGGTCTCCGATAGATACATGTGTCGGATCAAGTCTCCGAACGCGGTTACGTTTGGGTGAAATATAACTCGATGTCTTACGTATGCGTATAGGTCATTCCGAACGAGCGGATAAACGACTTCCAGACCATATTGGATGATCCGTAAGACGCACTGCGGGAAAAGCAAGGGTATCTCATTGTTGCTGGAGACCTCAATGCCAAAGCTCTCGAATGGAGGGGGGGCAGGGCGGACTCCAGAAAAGGACGAATCATGGAGGTAGTTTGCAGCTCTGAAGCTAGTAGTGCACAACAAAGGATCGACGTCTGCCTTCCGAAGTCCTGGCTACAGAGAGACGATCCCGGACGTATATCTAGTCTACGAACACCTTGTGGCAAGAGTTGCAGGCTGGCGGGTGATCGAAGATTACATTGCGAGCGATCATCAGTACATCCTATTCGACCTACACGATTGGAGGCCAGCCGTGACAGGGGCAGCGCGAACACCCCAGGTGGAACATAGCAAAAATGAATCGAGAGAGTCAATCTTCAGTCATAGATGAAGGTCGGAGATCCTATCAAATTGTACCTGCGAGTCTATCGCCAATTGCACAAGCCAGGAGGATGACTGCATCAACTATGCAGCTCATCTAAAAGGCTTGCGCGATAGCGGTGCCAAAGAAGAGGACGAAACGTCAGAGGCGTCCTGCATACTGGTGGACGTACGAGATCGCAGATCTTCGTAAGATGTACTTAAGGCTTCGCAGGTTAACACAACGAGAGAAGAGACGCGATGTCGACGCTGCCTCCTTGGCCGCATAGTATCAAGCGGCCAAAAAATTACTGAAGAGGTCCATCAAGGCCAGCCAAAGATGGCACTGTAAGGAGCTGGCCCTAGATATCGACGCGAATCCATGGGGATTAGGGTACCAGATCGTCACTCGCAAGCTGGGGACTTACACACAAGGAATTCCTCAGAACGCGAGGATCCTGGAGAACATCGTTCATAAAATATTCTCCTCACAGCCGAAGAGAAAGATTGGCCCGGCTGCGCCTGGCAGCCCTAAAGAGCCACAGTTTACGGAGAGTGGGATACTCATGGCCGCATCTTCTATGCGGAACAATAAATATCCAGGATCAGACGGTCTTCCAGCGGAAGTAAGGAAAGCCGCCGCGCAGATTCATCCTGAGCTATTGCTAATCATGTATAATATGTGCCTTTCGTATAATATGTATAATATGTGCCTTCATGTATAATATTTCGTCATACAGGCCTATATGTATGCTCAATACGGTTCGAAAACTTCTGGAGAAGCTGCTAAGGTCAAGGCTGCACGCAGCCGTGAAGGCAGCGGTGGATTTTGCCGCCCGCTAGTACGGATTTCGATTCGGCCTCTCCACCATCCACGCAGTCCACGAGGTGGTCACGGCCGCTAAAATGTTGGAGCGAGGCAATCATCGAACTCGACCTTTGTGCCTGCTGGCCACCTTAGATGTGAGAAATGCCTTCAACTTCGACAGGTGGGACCTGGTAAAGGAAGCGCTCGAATGTAAGTTCGGCGTTCCGAAGTACCTACTCCGAATTATTGACGATTATCTAAACGAGCGCTTCCTAGTATAGGACACGAGTGATGGTCCAAGAAGCTTGGAATTGACATCGGGGGCAGCCCAGGGCTCCATAGTGGGACCGGATATATGGAATATATTCTACGACGGTATCTTTCGTATGGCAGTCCCAGAAGGTACTTTCTTGGTTGGGTACGCAGATGACATTGCAGTTGTCATAACCGCAAGAGATACGGAGGGGGCACAGTTGTTGCTCAACCAGATCGTGCGGAGAGTTACCTCCTGGATTGAAGACCACGGGCTATCTCTAGCAGCCCAGAAGAAAGAGATTGTCCTAATTACGAGGAAGCGCATCAACACCTTGCGCTGCTTCATTATAGGCGACGCTGCGGTCCAGACTAAGTCGGCTATCAAATATCTCGGGGTCATGCTTGACAACAAGCTTAACTATGGAGAGCATATTATCAGAGCAGCCGACAAGGCGGCAAAAGTAGTAGCCACACTAGGCATGCTCATGGCCAAAGTCAATGGTCAACGTCCATGCATGAGGAGACTACAGATGCGTGCCGCCGAAGCAGTGATGCTGTACGGTACGGAAATATGGGCCGAGGCGCTGCGAAAACAGAAATACCGCAAGCGCATAACCACGGGACAGAGGATGAGCGCCCTCCGAATCGCGTGCTCTTACCGCAAGGTCTCAGAGCCGGCAGTGCTAGTTATCGCCGGGGTAATCCCGATCGATCTATTAGCCCAGGAGAGGAAATTCGTCTACTAGCAAAGGTGTGTCCTGGTAAAGGAGAGGCCATCAAGGCTCGCCAGGTCTATCAGCATCAAG